TATTTTCACTGGTGACACCACCAGGGAACTGATCTTGTCCCTTCTCTAGATACATGTAATCATATAAACACATCTGATTCTTAAGCCATCTCAAAGACCTGAAACTATCAAAGTCTTCAGAAACTCGTAACAATTACGAGCACTTTACTTCTGGGATGGGAATATATGAAAACAGAACTAAAAATAACGTAAGTGCCTGCAGGCCTTCTTGAAAGAGAGGGCAAAAAAACACCAGAACTACTCTACGTTCTTTTTATAACTTCACATATTTTAATGCAATAACAGAAAACAAAAGAATTTCAGACCTCCTCTTATAAACATGCTAGAGGGAGCACAGATCTATTTCTAGCTTTCAGTCATTCAGTAAAGGAGCAGCTCTCTAGATATATTGAACTGATCTCTTTAGCCTGAAAACAGTGAAAAAGATTTGATGTGTATGTAGCTGCTATTAATAGTTCTTACTCTCAAATCTTGAGCATCAGACAGGTTTTTTATTCATCTTTTTTTTTCTTCACTATTAAGGTGAGCACTTAAATGATTTTTTTCCTACTGCCTTTTACTATCACTTCTGCTTTTTTTCCATCCATATCTCTAGATGGTACCTGAGTTTGGTTTTCTTCTTTAGCTGAAAAGCAGACAGAAAAATGTAGCTGCTATGGAATAATTTCTATTGAAACAAACTAAAACATTACTTTTGTGTCCTGTACAGAATGTTTGTTTTTTAAGTCCTGCCTGCCATTATCTTCCACAGCCTCTGAGACTTGCCAGGGCACAGCTGAATGGGAGGTCTCCTCTCTGTTTCTTTGGCCTGCTCCCCCTCAGTCCAGATGGCACGGCAGAGGTGACTCATGCTGTCACCTCACTTGTGGTTCCTGAGGGGATGACAGTGCTCAGAGCATTCTTCTTCTGGTAACCTGACCAAAGAAACGTACTGAGGCTGAGTCACTGTGCCAAATGACTGCAGACGTTTCCAACCCACTTGTTTTCCTGTCATTTTGTGACACGTTTAGAAATTTGCTCATGCTGTTTATTCATTATGAGCTATTTTATCTTGGCTTTTTTTGTCAAGCATGGAGTCTGCTTTTAGGTTTTGATGATACAGCTAGAAATACTAAGAGAGAAAAGAGTAATACTTTCTTATGTGATACCCCCAAACATACAGAGGATTTCTTGCATTAAACCATCAAGAAACAGAAAAGCAGAACTGCAGGCTGTTTCAGGAATACAAGAATGAACACAGAATGAACACTGGCAACTCAGTCCTAGTTCAGTATTACTGCAATTATTCCAGGAATGGATTTGGTCTCTTAATAAGAGAAATGTTTTATCATACTCAAAACTCATGTGTTTGAGACTGCTGGGCAGACATTTAAAGCACAGCTCTGGGCAAAAAACTGGTATATTGTAACTGCTGTTGCTTTACTGATTTTTTTTTATTCTAAATAATAAAAAATTATTTCACAGAGACAGGAAAGAATGTACTGTCTATTCTAGAGACCAGAGCATCCAGCAAAGGTTGTTTGTATATGGCAATTTTTATGCAAATGTCTCATGCAGCTTTGCAGATAACAGAAACAGGCCTGGAGGGGGTCATTTCAGTACCCTGTGCCATGCTGCATCTAGAGGGGAAAAGCCATTGTGTATTCTGCACAGCCCAACCTGACTGCTGCTCTCCTTCAAGAATTGCATCAGCTGCACAGGGAGCATAAAACTGGTCTTAAACTGGACTATAATTGTGTAACTTCTCCTCTTGCCTGTCATGCACTCTGAGAGATTTGACACAACCTAGGAGAGAAACTGCTGCAGAATTATGCTCAGTGTTTCTGCAGCTTCTCTGGAGAAGGTTAGGGGGCCCAAAGGAATTTTGTTTTCCCTACTCTGCAGATTCCTGATCTCTAAGATTGCCAAAAGCTCTTTTTACTTTCTAAAGAGGTCTGACAGCAATATAAATATGCTCTCAGTCAAACCCTACTGACAATCCAGCTTTCAAATGAGAAATCCACTGGAATTTCATTTTTTCCAGAACCAGCATTAACTTCTCCTGAGCTTCCTGTAACTGCTCACATCCAAGAACTGGAACTTAAGAGGACAAAAGAGAGGAAGGATCGTTGTAACAGTATGGATTTAATTGAGTTCTTCCTTTTACCTTTTCTTCAAGGACAACAAGGTGACTCTTGCCCAGGGCAGGAACTGTAGTATTATTTGCTAGCAGATATGATGTGCTTTATAGTTAAAAGCAACTATACCTTCTGCTTTTGTTAAGTCAGATGGATGAAGCCTTCATGTGGTTTCTTCAGTCATTTAACTATACCTTTTTTTTTTTTCCCTAATCTGCACCATGGAGTGGATGAAACACAAAGGCTGTTTGACACAGATGGGTGGAAAGATGTTCCATGTGCTTAAGGGGATTGGTACAGATGGTGGGTTTAGTCTTTGTCCATCATCAAAATGCAATAGTGTACAGAACTGGGACTCCAGAGAGGCCACCTGGCTCATGACTGTTGGAATTCAGATTGTCACAGAGCAACTGTTACAGGCCTTAAGTGCGTGGCCACATATTTACATCTCTCCTGTGAGTTTGTACAAGGCCAGAACAAAACTTAGGCCTCAGGAAAGACAGATGATATGAACATATAGAGAGTGCTAGATATATGCTCTGTGGTCAAAAAGCCAAAATAATGGGAGGAATTGCAGTTACAGTTGCAATATGAGGCCAATACTTTTGCCACAAAGGGAGCATAGGGGCTATAGAGACTACTGAAGAGTGATCATCTTGTTCACATGAAACATACTGCCAGTGATATTTTAAATTCCTGAAAATTCTGAGAGAAGAGCAGAAACATTAGCTTCTGGGAGTTCCTCATAGAGAGAAGAGAGCCAAACTGATCCAGTTATTTTAATTATGTTTTGAATCTTCCCAGAATGAAGCCCCATCTACAGAAGGATTAGAAAAAAAAAGTCCTCTCTGCATATGTCAGTGGAGACCTCTTTTCTAGAAACTCACTGTTCTCTTCACTAGTTGAAGATCTGACCCCTAAATACAGCAGTTCAATATTGAACATTTCTCATCAAGAAACTGCTGTCTTTGTTAACCATAGTTATTTTCCTGCAATATATTAATACTAGTTATATTAATATATGACACCCAGACTGCATGAACACTGAATGGATAAGGAGCTGTGAGGTTTACTCACATCCCAGCACATTTTAGATATTGATTCTCCAGAGGACATAGTGTTTAAGATTGTTAATTGATAAAAGCAATTTCAGTACCATTTAGCATGATGGATCTCAAGAGTAAAACAAGCTTTGCTTGTGATCAGCACTAATAATATGAGAAGCCCAGGTAAGAATAATCATCAATATAAATGTCTCTGCCTCCAAGTGTCCTAAACACAGCAGTGCACAGTGCACTAGCCTTGAGGCTGGCATACTGATCTTCCTAATAAAAGCCAGTCTTACATGACAGATATACAGTGGGAGAGCAGATCCCCAGCAGAGGTGACAGTGGCACCTAAACAAGGAAAAAAGGTCAGCAATAAGGCTTGTTACCAGAGATACTTTCCTGTCATTATTTTGGGAAAGGAGAAGTAAAAAGGAAGCAGGAATAGCTGTCATAGCACAATGAAAGTAATGGAAAAGGCAAGATGGAGTTAACCAAAGCTAAAAACAATAAAAGGACCAGTATGTTTTCACATGAGCAAAGCAGCTGAAGGACAGCTCCCTGTGGAGACCTGCGTTCCATACAGAGGCAGCAAGGAGAATAAAAAGCTCTTGGATTGTGATTAAAATCTGATTTGTACCAGAAACACCTACTTTTTCCACTCCTTACTTAATTCTATACTTTGATTGCACTGTCTTTTGTGCACTTACTCTCACATACACACTCTAATCTCTTGGGTTTCCTCTCTTCAAATACCACTGTGACAATCCATGTTCTAATACCACTTTAGCTACCTTCAGCTGCTTAGGCAACAGGCCCTTCAGGCAAAGGATTATGAAACAAGGACTCAGAGATCTGTGGGTAAGGACAGAGTTGGTAACATCTAAGTTGAAGAATGTACATTAAACAAAGGATGCTTTTTGTATTCCTCAGGGTGTGATTTCAAAATGGAAGCGCCTGATGCAGCCCTCAGAACCAACACCTGAGCCTTGGCTGCCAGTATGGCCAAGACACTAAAATAAAACATTTGCCAGGAAGCTAATGCTGCAGTTTGCTTGCTTCCAGGGGAATAGTTTAGCACAGCACCTCTCAGCATAGGTATCAGTTTCAATAAGAACTGAAGGTGCAGTTTCTGCTAATGTTAGAGGTTTTTTTAAGCTGTCTTTTTTATCTTAATGTTGATGGACTTTCTGCACACATCAAGGACTGGAAGTACTCATGTCAGCTGTGGAAGACATTCAAAGGCATAAAACCTCAAAATAGATGCCAAATTACAAGAGTGTCCAGATCATTGGTATTAGGGCTGTTACTAGTAAGGTCACAAAGAAAGTTGGTAGTGGAATATAAACCTTGTCTTAACTATGCCAAATAACGTATCAGTTTCCACTGCTCCTTCCAAGGCTCCCCTTTTTACCTAGTGAAACCTATTCTCACCCTTTTTACCTAGTGAAAACTTCCTGCAGTATGTGCAATGTAGTACAGCTGTCTTTCATGACTATTAAATATACAGATGCCCATCCCAGAACGTTCTCTGACACTCAGGAAATCAAAGGGCATCTGAAATAGTGTGCACTGACAGATATGACCTACACACATATTAGATTCCAGTAAGACCAGTAATCAAGGGCTCAACAGGTGTTTAATACTAAATACCTTTTGCTATCTGTTTAGATTAGTGAATAAACAGTATCAGGATCCCAAGATTAAACCTCTGCATTTCAAGCTGCTGCACAGGTCCCAGGCAAGGGATAGGATCATATATTCAGATAAGATCTGCCAATCCCACCAACACAGGATAGATTGTATGTCTCTGACCATGCTTTTTCTGTTTCTGCAGGATGGATGACATCCAGCTGTGCAAAGACATTATGAACCTTAAGAAAGAGCTGCAGAGTTTGGTAGCAATTCCAGGTAACGCTATTTCCAACCCAGTATTAGGATAATGCTTGGGTGATGTCCAGCACTGGTATCAGGAACACACCTCTGGCCCTAACAATAAGAAATCTCCCCCCAAGGCTGAGTTTCATCTCTCTTTCCTCTAGTCCTTGTTTTTAATCCGATTTTCCTTCCCATCATTAATCTTCTGGTCTCTAAATTTCTTTTTAAATTTCTTTTAGTGTTATGTTTCTCTGCTCCCTTGGCAGCAACCCTGTAAATGTTACTTAAACGAGCTGGACATACCTTAGCTTTTGCCCTCCCTTGGCAATCCCGAGGGAACCTAGTGGCACAGAGGATGTCAGGTAGAAAAGACTGATATTGAGATTCCTGAGATAACAGATAGAAAGGAGAGGGATTTACAACCATCACTGTAAATGAGATTGTTTTTTTCCCCACATAAACCAGTTCAATGTCACATCTCAAGTTAAATCTACTTTCTAGAAAAAATTAGAAAGGGTTTCTACAAAAATTAAAAGGTAAAAGTCTTTGTGTTTTGCCTTAATTCTCTGCAATTTCACTGCTCTAAGGAGGGACAGAGTTATGGGCAGTTTTGCAGTTCTTGACTCTAAACTCCAGCTGAAACCAATACTGAATTTTGCTTTACTACAGTTTTGCTATTTTACATCATCCATGACAGCCCAGCTCTGTTAAAGAAAAGAGTACAAGACAGAGCCTGCAAAGGACTCAATGCGTGCAGTGGGCCATTTATACTAGAGACTACTGCACAGCCTCTAGCACCCTTCATCTGCTGCTGCTTAACTATTAAGAACACATTTTGACTCTCCTTTGGTTATCCTCATTCTCCCCCTACCCGACATTTTATTGTGCAACTTTAAAAGACGGCTTTCTCCCCAGAAAGTAGTCTCTTATGAAATAGGAAACAGAGGTCTTCTGAGGCCCAAATTCTTAGTTCTACAAGAACTTTTCCACTTTTCTTTGCATTCAACAAAATTTGATTAATAACCTTTTTGTTTCTTTGTACTTTTTAGTTACTTACAGGTCACATTCTTAATTTCTAGTAACACTGTTGATACATTATTAGTTTAAAAGATATTGGAAAGGATTATGAAACCTAGAAAATACCTATTAATTATTCCCCTTGCCTCTTACAGTCTAACACTTTCCTACCCGTACTTTTAACTTACAGGTAAGGGTTAAGTTTTTCTTTTCCTGGGGGCTTTTTTTGTTTAAACCTCTTAGAACCTATTTTCCAGTCACAGTCTTAAGCAGAGATCCAGACAGCAGTTTCTCCTTATAAGGCATTTTGCAAATCTCAGCAAACTTCAGAATTAAGTATCTTCAGCTCCACCAGCACCACCTTTTGACTGACTCAAAACAAGGATAATTTTGTCTTAATGAAGACAAGCTGCTGCATTCATGCAGAACTAAGTGCTGACACAGCATGTACCCAACCTAGAAAAACTTTCCAGAAACGGGTTCATTCATAACACCTTTATCATAATTTTCCTGTTAATATACAGATTTGTATAGAGACCATCTCTTTGGTTTCAGTAGACATGGATTGGCCAGTTTCAGTAGACATAGGATCAGTCTTTTAGTACACAGAGCACACAGTTCTTTGCCACAATCCAGGATGCATGTATTTTGCAGGCAGTTTCCTGAAGGATATCACAGGAGAGCACACCTCAGTCTGTGAAAAGGATAGACTGAAAGGAAGTAGAAAATAGCTTCTACCTTTAGTAGTGGGAGGAAGAGATCCCTTGTTCCACAGACTTAAGAGGCAAAGCAAGAAAAACAGTGATTACTAAGCACTCTTTTTCTGTTGCAAATTCAGCGTTAACCACAGGAACTCTCAACAGGTAACAGTGTAGAAGACTTGAAATCATATTAGCCAATCCCTTTCCTTTATCATTGCTAAAAGATAAAGACACAAAACACATCCTGGACAAAGCATCCTTGTTATATGACAAATTATTTCCTTTGCCACTGGCAGACTATAATTTAAAAGTATCTGAAACTGCATTTAGAGATCCATAAAATTAACTAAAACGAGTTATGGAAAAAAGAGCAAACTGCCTGTGGTCTGATGCATCTGAGCTATGTTATGTCTGCTGATTGAACTTACGAGATTTCAAACAGCTAAATAAATCAGACATTTGAAAATAATTGTTTAATACAATGTAATTTTGGATCATGGGCTCTAAGAGACTTAGTGCTGGGAATTTTTGCAATAAATGCATTCCTTAGTAAGCAAGATAAAAGCACCTTTAATATATTTGAGACAACAAAATTCTTTAAGTCTTGGTCTCACAAACTCATACTTCCTATTGTTCAAAACCAAAAGTCTTAATTTAACAAAAAGTTTCTTCTCACCTAATCAAAACTCTCAGCTTCTTGAGGAAATATGTGGGCTGGGATTTGCCTCTGGCTTTCTTATTTCTGCTCCACTTACTAGGTTTGAAGATTACTATTTTAACAACATTTGCTTAAATTACAGCTCTGTAATCCCCAACATTCATGAGGTTTAGCTTGTGACAGGTGCATCTTTCATGTCACAAGTTGTTTACAGACAACCTAGTCATTTACAGACTGGGCAATTGACAAGGACATATTTTACTCAGATTTTTGAAGCACAAGGAAAATGAAGTATTTATTATTCCATATTTTACAATTGATGCTATTTGCAGCTTACCTTCCTTACCAGAGTAGAAAAAAGTGTTGTAATCAACAGCCAAAGCTGTCATGAAATAAACCCAGTTCTTTCTGGTGTGGTCTCATTTCCCCAAGTCAAAGGGAGTTTGTACCACAGTTTTTAATGTAGCATACTGGGCTGGTTTCTTACCAAAGCTCTTAAAAAAAAATAATCAAAGCAGTGTCTTGCAGAATAACTTAATATTTTAAAAAGCAGGCTTAGCAAGCCCTGCAGAACGTCCAGACCATTAAGCTGATCAGACTCAACAGCAGTAAGTAGAAGAGAAAAAAGAGGTAGTAACCAGAACTTGTTGGGCTTTTGGTGATTCAGGTCTGAAGAGTCATTGATTTAAATCAGCAATTTTTTTCTTAAACATTTGCAATATCCACCCCAACCCTCTCATCTCACTCTGTAGAATCCAGTCTCTTCTCTCTGTTTTTGACCAGAAAAAGAAAAAACAAAGATGGAGAAACAAAGAGAAGATGAGCTGATTCAGAAGATCCACAGACTGGTACAAAAAAGAGATTTTCTTGTAGATGATGCAGAGGTGGAGAGATTACGGTAAGAACTACAAGCAACTGAGCTTGTTACTGAGATTTCACATGTCTAATACTACACAGGAGGGAGTGACAAAATTTAGATCAACATTACTGGGAGATAACTGGTCCCTCAAAACAACTTAAAAAGTAAAAAGCCTCCTCCCAGTTCCATAGAAAATACATTAAAACTAGATGACTGCACTTCTATGTCTCTTTATCCTACTGAGTCAGTCATCTCATGACTGCAGTGGGGCTTGGTCTATTACTTCCCTACCAGAAGGTGTCTGGGTGTTTACCCTTAAGAAGAGAAGCATTTTTGCTGCTACCAGAAGATCCTATGGGGATGAGAAGTGGACATGAAATGGAATTCTACAAGGGCTGCATTTGCACACATCTGAGATTTGCCTTTTTAAAAAAACAAAGCAAATTATTCATGTGGTTGGATTTTATGACTACTATTCTCAGCCTGCCACAGCAAAAAAAAAAAAAAAAAAAAAGAGAATGCAGCTACTGATACGGATCTACCTAACCTAAAATGTCAGCAAGATCGGAATGGCTTCATATAAAAATCTGAGCCCTAAATTGCTAGGAAACCTGTGGCCTTGCTCAAAAGTTCATTTCCAGCTGTTGCACTGAGACCCCCACACTCCACAAACTGACATTAGAATTTTGTTACTTCCCCTGTCTCTTTCGACAGTAAAGATTCAATGCATATCAATCCATTTTTCCTAAATGACAATGTCTCTTCCAACACATTTAAATTCTAAGCCAAGGACAGGAGAGAAGAAAGCTTGCCAGAGTCCTGCAGCTGATCAAAGAGAGCTGGCCAAAGTCAGCAGCTGACAAGAAGCCTGATCTAGTAATATAATCCAGAGCTTTCAGCTGCCAGTTCAGTGTACACATTGCAAAAGCTTCAGCAGCAGCCACACAATACAGAGGCATAATTATAGGCTACTGAAAATGTACTGCTGGGCACTATGCAAATTTGAATGCATTAGTGCCAATCCACATTTGCAGTAAAATTCAAGGCTTTCCTTTGAAACTCCTGATAATAAAACCTGCTGCTTTTCCTTTAAACAGAGATATTCCATCTGTGCACTAACTGTTCATGTTTAGGTAACAAAATAGCAAAGAAACTAACATGGAAATAATTAATAAATACAATCAAGGTTAGCAACACCATCTTTTTATTTTGAGCACAAAGACAGTCTTCAGATGAAGAGAAAAATACTAGGTTTTTGTAAACACTAGCAGCAAAAGACCATGAGATCCAGTCTATTGTCTAAGCAGGCCTTAAAAATAAGCAGTACAATCACACCAATGTGTCCTCTGCTTTACTTAGTAGAGGAAGCATCGTGAAATATTTGTGAGGCCAACTTAAAAAGGTGATACATTATGGTTGAAATCCACTGACTAGGGAATATAATGAATCCAAGGCTTTCAGAGACAAAGAAAGAACCTTGAGCAAAATTCTGTCTCTGAATTCTACAACTTTGTTAATGTTTTCATTTAGGCAAATACTTTGCTTTTTAATAAGCAGGGAAATAAAATGTTTTTTAAAAGAACAAAGAATTGTTTGATTCTAGCTACTGTAGCTTTTGCTTTCACATTTACAGATAAAACATTGTTATTGCTGGAACAGTTACTTTCATATTTTTTTTCCCCACCAGAGAGAAAGAAGAAGACAAAGAGATGGCTGAATTCCTTCGAACCAAGTTAAAACCCTTAGATAAACCAACACAGTCTCCTACCAGTGAGTTCCCAAACATTAAGAAAAACAAGAACAGAAATAAGTCCAAAGACAATGGTCTAAAAGAGCATTTTCAAAGGCCATTGTGGGTCAGCCTCTTCCAAAAGCTAGATTAATTTAGCTAAATCACCCTGAAACAAGATAGTGTGTCAGCAATTGCTGGCCACTTAGCATTCAGGTGCCCAATTATCCCTTAAAACTGAATCCAAGTAATCTATAACCACTTTAAAAAGGCCTTGTATGTTTAAAATATGCAAAGTATATTGGAATACACATTACCACAACCTGCTTTTGTAAGCAACTAGATCTATTTTTGGCAATCTGATTCTGCAAAAATAACTGCAGAAAAATTCCTAAGGTATATGCTAGGATATCTGAAGCAAAGTGTTCTGTTTTTTTGCCTGTTTTACTGCAGGCAAGATGGGAACTAAAGTGGAAAAACCTGTTATCAGACTGTATGGCTGTGAACTGGGACACCTGAACTGAACAAGATACAAGTTTACCCTGCCATTGAGATATCTGGGTTCTTTAGCCCCTCTTAACTCTGTGCCCTAAAGAGATAAGACTGAACTGGTTGAATCCACACACCAACTTGGTTACTACCAAAGTGTTAGGATATTTTATTCAAATTAGAGTTGAAAAACTCAGGGGAAGGTGGAAAAGGGCAGGAAAGGCCTGCATTATTTAAGACAGAAGTAGGAAAAAACAGACAGACCAGCTTTTGGTTTCTAACAGTGTCCTGTTTTGAACATTGCAGGCAGCCCAGTAGAAAAGAAGGCTGAACCTCCTCCAAGCAAGCCTGCCATTGCCAAAGCTGGATTGGCTATTATTAAAGATTGTTGTGGGGCCACACAATGCAACATCATGTAGCTCTGGGCTCTTGACCATGTTTGTCTATTCAAATGTTTTCATTGACCAAAACTGTAGGGTGAGGGGAACTAACAAGCTTCCTGCTAACAGAATCAAGAGCAACTGGTACAACAGTAACATGTGGAATGTACAATGGCAGGTTCTTCACTGTTGCATGGATAACTCAACACGCATGCCTAAAATCAAAATAAATCTATATAGTGGCTGTCCAGTGACCAGAAAGGATCTGTAGTAGAATAAACAGAAACACCCTGTGGTAAAAGTGAAAAGAGGGTATATTTCATCCAGTAAGGTGTAAAACATCAATTTTAACAGGCCATCACTTTGTAAGAATTTGTTGTACACTTGTTCCCCTTGACAAACAGCACTCAAATTGCTGAAATATCCCATTTTGGTTACTTTTCAAGACAAAAGCCACAAGTAGCAATGCTGTATATAGTGTAACTGATAGATGAAGCAACTTTAGGACAACTGATGTTGCATACAAAATACTTTGCAAACTATTGTGACGTTTGACTACTTTGCTGTGGAGTTTCACTTCCAATTCTTTCTAAAGAATGAGGATCAGTGACAAGGATGCTGCAAGTAGAAATAAGATTTTTATATACCATCTGATTTCTGAGTTACTCAAGTCAAATGAATATTGCTTACACCAGGGGAAATAAGTCTCTGGTAAACCTCTAGCAAGCACAGGTACAGTAATCTGCAAATAGATTATGTAATCCAAGCTGTGTTATTTCTCTTTTAGATCTCCACCTCTTATGAAGCCAGAGAAACATTCATCCAGAGTTTTGTCCACTATTAGAACTCCACTATTATGTGCAGTATGAGATTACATGAAACTGGTAGGTTACTAGGAAGAGAGTGGAGAATAAACAAAGTTTTATCTAATATTTAAACAATGCTTAAAATAACTATTAATTGCATATTTCATGTCTGTAAGAAATAAACTATCAAGCAAAGGAAGACACTAGCCACCCAAGATTAAGTGACCACACGACAAATACACAAACAGAGAAGTAGATCTTGGTTGTAGGAAGATCACATTCTACACAAAATGGGTTTAAAATTAAGGGAAATACAGAAAGACTTACCTGTACTTCACCATTTCGCATATTTCTGGTCTCTCATGCAGATTAAGCCTTGTGGATTCTAATATCGTTATTAGCTGTCAGTAACTGGTTTGTCTGTGTGATGGTATTCCATATAAATGTACTGTGCTAGGTGTAAATAGTAAAATAAATGTACATGATCTAATGTGAAAAATCTCAGGCTTAGAAATAACAGATAGCAAAAAGTTCCTAAGTTTTTTCAATAACTTCCATTTTTGTGAAGCCAGCTAAGTGAAGTGTGCACTTATACAAAGGAATCACTGTTACAGGAAAGAATAAAAAAAATTAACAGCAGTTCCTCAAAAGGGATGAACAGTAATATATCTTAGAAAACAGAAGTACTATATTAAGGTTCAAGGAAATAAACATCATCTAAAGTAATTCAGAATATTCTTGTACAAATAAAACTTAATCCCTAGCATTGGACTGATTCAGTGAAGAACATCTGCACTTCCAGAAGCATTTGTTTCAGTATTGCAGACTCACTTAAGACAAAGAACCTACATCACCAAGTTCCTTTAGGTTTAAGGATCAAGGAGAAAAAGACAGCAAGCTTTCCAGTAAGACATGAAGCACTTTAATTATTTTGACCAAAGATGCAAGAAAGAGGACAAAATATACCCAAAGGCTGAACAGTCACATATAGTTTTGGCATCCTTATTGATACGTACCAAATTAAGATACAAAGAAGTATCAGTATGTTAAGACGAAGCAAATGTTCAGTGCCATTAACAAAGGCAAATGAAAGTTGAGAAAGAAACCTGAAGCACCAAACTTAACCTTAGGAGGATCAACTGTTACAACCACATATTGCAAATGGCAGTAAGTAAAAGGACCTGAAGATGGACTTGGCACACAGTTGTTGGAAGGCAAGAAGTCACTTATGCACAAGTGTGCTGATGATTGGGGTGATCTCTGCATGCTGCACAGAACACACAGTACCTCTGGGAAAAGTGAAGTCAGTAGAATGTAGGTCTATATGAAAAAAATTCACTAACAGGAAATGGAACTAGACATTTCTAGAATGCACCACTCATGACTAGGCTACAGAGCCCCTTTAATTAAAATAAAACACAGGAAGTATGAACCTGTAATCTTCATATACAGTTACTATTGATAGCCAGTGCCCCAAAGGGACTTGATGTACAGCAGTATAAATGAGTGAACTTCCTTTTGGAAATTCTAGATTGGCTCAGCTGAGTTTGAGTTAGTTTTGTTTGATTAGCAAATTCATCAGTTGTGTTTATATTTGGGCAGACTTGGCCAGCTTGCCTGCAATGTATCAGTGTTACTTTAAAAGGGGGCCAGTGATGCTGCTTAGCAATCATATCCCAGACTTTTTAGTCTGTGAGGTCAGATTCTCAACTGTGCTCAATACTGGCTTGCAGTGTTTCCCACCCAGAACACAACAAAGCACTCATGGTGTACTTCTAACATAATGGTCTTAAACAGATACAACTTAATGAAGGAATGAAGTATATTATGATCTTGATCCTTGTTTCTGAGAAGTCAGACTAAACCACTGAGCCCCAGTACCATGAGGGGCTCTAACTTCTGTGATCCCACAAACATAACACATTATTATGCAAACCCCATATGTAAAAAACAGCACAAAGTATGAGACAAGTATCTTCAGGTGACTGTCTGCAAAGAGGGACATGGGTTGACTGAAGCACCCAAAATTTCTTCTGGATATACTGGCTGTTTATCACTTCAGAAAGACAAGGCATCAGGAAAAGATTTAAGGTGGATTTGACACAATATTTCCTCTATGAACTGGTAAACATGGCTATATTCAAGAAAGGGTCTTGGCCTACTGAGAAAACAAAAGTGCTGAAGTGCTATTTATATTAACCACCAATCCTACCAAATGGTTCTCTTGTACCTTCCCCTAGGCCTACTAAATCTCTTCAGTAAAGTTAAGATAAACATATATCCAAATAAACTAATCTGCTGTGTTATACTAAGCATTTGTTTCTTCCTGTAACTATAGAAAATAAGTGGTTGTGGAGTAGAGTGGGATGCCTGAAGATTTATCATGTCCTGTACCCCAGTATCACTGAATAAAACTGTAGACAAGTCAGCTCAGCATCACTATGTGCCAAATAGTGGAATAGCTGCTGGCATAGGTTCAAAATCTCAAGGTGAAATGAATGAATATCAACTCAGAGTAAGTGTGCAAGAACTGATGTTTCTCACCACTCTTCTTGAATTAATACAAACATTTCTGGCAAAATGTCACAGCTCATAAATAGCTTTGCTTTAGTTGGCAAAGGCTGCTCTACAGCCTCCTCAGAAAGGCTCACAAGGTTGGATTACAGTAACTTCAAAACCATGTTTGTCACAGATACATTTAAAAGAAAATATTTTAAAGCTTTTGCTTAAGGACTGTCAAGCTCAAAAGATTTTATAGATAGTTTCCAAAGGGATCACCTGTATCCTCACAAACAATAGGAACATTGTAGTTTCCACCATTTGTTTTGGAACTAAAAACAGTTACCAGAAGTTACCTGAAGTCTGGCAAGGTCCTTAGGTCTCACTGGGTAGTGTCCATACTATCCTCTTTATTCCAAGTCTGTAGAGAACCTGCAGTCATCATTCAAGAATTCTCTCCTAAGAGCTTAAGTTGGACATATCTTCAAATGCACCCTTCAAGCACAACCAGCATGATCAGGCTTCTTCTGTTAAACCTGTCACTACTTTTAGCTGAAGTATTTAAATGCTTAGGGAAAACAAATGCAACATTGTCAGTGGCAATTAGCTAAAAGCGGAATAAACAAACAAAATCTCCTTAGGTATTCTAGATGTAAGGCAGCTAAGAATTAGACAGCACTAGTGGAGCACCTTAAAATAGGGCCTAAAAACTAATCTACCCTGGAAAAGTCTTTTACTCAACAGGAAGGACTCAAATTTCTTCTATCAGTCTGCTTCCTGTAGCACATGTATAGGACTACAAACCATTAAAAAATCACTAAGATTTTTAATTTCTCTATGTAGTATTAAAATAAAACCAGTCATACAAGAAGGAATGTTACAAGTTATGCATGTTGGAAGAGTGGGGATATTGTACCTCATCTTCTGGACAAATACCAGATACATTGTGGGAAAATACCTGAAAAATAGCTCTAGGTATCTCATTTCAGAGCATACATCCACTCTATGACATTACACTATGCATTAAATGCTGACTTACATCAGCATCTGACTTTGTGGCCACACAGACTGAACAGATATTCAAGTCAAGCTTTGAATAGAAAATTACTTGAAGCCAAGGGCTTTAAACTCTAGTTTTCAAAGGTACAAAAAAGTTTAAATATTCAAATTGCAAACATGTTATCTGCAAAGACACTGAAAGCATTTCAGTGTTAGAGCCAAGAAACTGAGATAAAAGGGTTACTCCCACAAACTGATAAGCAGGCTTCACTATCACTCAGCTTTCAGTTGCTCACGTTTTTGCAAACAAAGCAAAGCCAGACTGCTTTTTCCTCACAGCAAGTTTTTCTCTCCACACAAGTCATCTAAAATACAGAAACCAATCTGTCCTATATGACCAAAGCCAAAGTGCTCAGCCTATTCTATAGAGAGATTACTTTCTTCTTTCACACCTGAAAGCTTTGCATTGTCCAAAGCCTTTTGCCAGCTTCTCAGTTCAGAAACTTCAAAGGTCATGAAACAGCCTTATGTTCTCTCTTCTTAGACAGCTGTGCTTCCTGTCAGCATTATTCCACATTAAGCCTGAAACATCAAATAAGTCAGCCACTTCCCTAATGCCCTTCTCTTGTATTAAGCCCAAATTTCTCCTTGATGTGCTTCTTTTTAAAATTACATTCAGTAGGAGTTAAACCATAGCTCACCATGCAGTTACACTCTGCCCCATTAAATTATGGTAGACAAAAGAAGCCACATTTATCTTAGAAAAAAAACAACCCAAATTATTTCCACGATGACTTTCAAAAAGCTTTTTAAACAAATGGTTTAACATAGT